AGACTGTCAACCATTCTTATTTGAATAACTAACAATATATTTAGCAGTAATTTAATTTGTATTAGTTTATCAGACAGATATCTATTTGTATAACTTTCAGATAAACTCTACTAGCTTAGTTAATTAGGATCAACTTTTTGTAATGTGAACTTAAAGTAGAGTAGAATGACGATATAAGTCAACTGAAAGTGTTGTCTGAACAGCACTTCACAGTCTTTAGCATAGATTAAACATACTCCTTAAGAAGGAGTATCTCGTTTGTCACTTAACTCCTGATCAACAGATAAAGTAGGGTTGAGGATTCCCAGATACGTTAAATCGCGGTTAATAGTAAAATACTATTAAATAGTAAAGGGTATTAAAATACAAGACAGTATTAAATCATGCTAATTAACATATTAATATTGCATTAAAACAAAACTGAATTTTGTTTTTGATAAGAATCACAATGAATAACAAGTATTTTAACACAATGACACAGGTAAATACAAAGAAGATCTTTAAGAAGGTCTTTAAGATTAAAACAAATATTTATAAGACACTAACTACCGTGAATTAGTTTCTTTGCAAATAAATAATCAGCAACATTTTTCTATTATTGAACAGAGAAATATCTATTTTTGACTCTACTTTCTTGTTTCGTAACCCTATTTTATTTTGTCTGTAGTAGAAGCATTGTATTGCTAACAGGAGGTGTAAGAGGGGAGATTCTATTATGGTTTGTTTACATCCTACCGCCCTTCCTTCTGTAAAAAGGACCCTGCAGATTAAAACATTGACTTGTGTTGCTAATTATGACCGTCTGTCTACATTTAATTTTACTTTTTTTCTGGAACAGGTCCCGGTTAAGCCGTACCGTGGTTGATCGGGATTAGTGTAATCCCATCTGTAATTATAATTCTCTCTACTTACATGGAATAACAGTGTATTAAGCTCAGATATAAACATTTTATTTGTTGTTCGTGATCGCGGCAAAATCATGAAAATCTCCTGCGGCCATATAGACATCATCGTTGTCTCGCGCGGTAACGGAAACATTATCATTGTCGTCCTTAATCGCGGCAAAATCATGAACATTTCCCTCGGCTGTGTAGGAACATCATCATCTCCCACAGTCAAGGAAACGTCGTCTTGCGCGTTCGTGGCAATAGCGGTAATTTTCCGATCACGGGGGCGTGACGGGTATTGGTAATTGAATCAACTTTTAAGATCGATTCTCGATACCGATACCAATGGCCAAGTATCAGTGGTATCGAGAATTGCCCCATCCTTAGTTTTAACCATTAAAAAATCCTTTTATGTGTTATATTCAAGGCTATTAAATAATTTAATTGTTAAACCGTTCTAATATTTAAATTATAAAGTTGTTATTAAATATGAGTGTACAAAATTGAATCATAATGATGACCAAGTATACAGGTATTATGTTATGTTAAAGATTATTGTCTTGGATTGAAAAGTCTCGCAATACGGTGGCATTTAAATACAAGCGTTAGACGTAAACAAGAGTAGTAATAATGGCGGCCAAACCAGGAAAGGAAGGGGGTCTACTACTAGTGGCCCTGCCGAGCTATAGGCTCGTCACTTCTTATATATATTACATCTTTAATTTAAAGACTTTATTAATTGGTTAGATCAAGAATTAGCAAATGTTCAAGGATCTGGATTAGATGAAAAAACATAAAAATATATAAAGAAAAAAAATTCAGTCTGTTAACCCTAGCTGACTTAGAAAAATTATGTAAAAATATTAAGTATTTTAGAGGTGTTTTTATGAGGGATATGCTTCCTGCAACTGTTATAAATTTGAAATGTTATAAATAAATTAGAATGTGGTATAATTAATGTTGATTCTTTCTCTGGTAATGGAACTCATTGGATATGTTATTATAAAAAAATAAAATTGAGTATTATTTTGATTCTTATGGAAAAAGACCTTTTAAAGAAATAGTTAAATATTTAGGAAAAGATAATATATTTTTTTATGATACTCAAATTCAAAATTATGATGATCCACCTATATGTGGTCACTTGTGTGTTTTTGTATTAAATGAATTGAATAAAGATATAAGATTTGATAACATAATCAATTGATTCTAAATAAATATTGATTCATTAGATATATTTGATTTATTTGGAAGGCAGAAAAAATATTTGATTGAGGTCAAAAATGATTATATTAATCCAAAATTAAGTTCCTTTTTTAATGATGTTAATAAAAATTTAAGAAGTCATATTAATAAAACTAATAATTTGATTAATGCTATTAGTTTATCCAAAAATTATTTAAGTATTAATTCTAGAAGAATTGTTAATGTAAAACCAAGCATTAATTACTATGATGTTATAAAATCCGAATTAAATGAAGTTTTAACCCTCCGAGTGTTATTTGTCGCTGCAGCGACTCACAAACACTCTTTACGGCGAAGGCTCTATGACTGACAAAATCGGATTGAACTGGATCGAGTTAGGTATCGTTATATTTTACAGATTCAGAGCTTTCTCCGGAGGTCTGTCTCTAAGCGCTTTTCATTTTAGTTCCGAAAATATTGTAGCAGACAGCTGACGTGCGTATTTGTAAACAGCTTGGTTATCCTCGGACCGATGACTGATGTGTTTTATTACGTATATCATTGTTTTAGTGTTAAAAATCAAAAGTAGTGATATACGTGGTGCATTATAAGAAGATTTAAGTGATTTTGAAGGGCTGGTTGATGATCCTGAAGAAGTAGGTAGTGATATTGATGTAAATTATCAGCCAGATTCCTAGCTATGGTTAGGCTATGCATTCTTAGCTAAACGCTATGTACTGAAATCTGTTTTTTGCCCATAACTTATTTATTTGCAAATCTACTTCCTTATATTATTATATATTTGTAATCCTCATAAAATTTAAAACAAAGTGGCTATTTTCAAATATTTATAGGCCTATAATTTATACAATTTCATTGAGCGCAAACTTATTTTTTTTTTGGAAAATTTTCCAAAATATTTTTATTTTTACTTAAAAAATTTTTTGAAACAAATGTTTCTTATGTTCTATGTATAATGTTGAAGCTCATGATTTTCCAAACAAAATGGTATATATAACAGTATAATTAACATTGTTTTCAAGCTTCTCAGATCCGTTTTAATAAAACCTTGCAAATGAGCAAAAAATAGGCAGACATTAAGGCCAAAACAAGGGACACTCGGAGGGTTAAATTCTATTATTAAAGTTGGTAATGATCATCCAAGAACTAAAAAGGATTTAGATGAGTTGGTTGATGCATTAAAAATTCATCATGTGATTCTTATCTTAGAAAATATAGAAGATCTTGTCGAAATAGAAATAGAATAGAAGATCTTGTTGAAATAGAAATCTTGTCGAAAATATGGAAGAAAAATTTAATGATAATATAAAATCAATAGATTCTAAATTATCCACTATAATAGCTACTTTACAAACTTAATTAGGTGAAGAAGATGAATAATTTTTACTATATAAATGGAGTTTATGTACTGTCTTAAATGTAAACAAAAAACCAATTCTAAAGACATTCAAGTTATAAAATTGAAAAATAAGAGTATGATCAAAGCAAAATGTTGTAGCCTATATGTAATTCAAATAAAAGTTCCTTTACAACATTTTCCTCCTAGTAAATGGCGAACTTCAACTCGTTTGATCTTTTCATTATCAGAAACCAATTCATGTTAACTAATGAAGATCGGGATATTATATCAGAAAAATGATAATTGAATGAAGATATGATAAGATTGTTTCCGAATAAATTAAATTGGGAAAGAATTGCTCAATATCAAACATTAAGTATTTATTGACGAGTTTATTAATTATCAACTTAATGCTTATATTACTTTGGTTTGTGAATATCAAAATTTGAATTAAGACTTTATTGATAAGTATAAAAATGATTTGGATTGGGAAATAGTGTTAAAACATCAAAATATATCAGCAAAATTCATAATGGATCATGCACTGAATATTGAACAGTTTAAAGAAAAAATGGATTATGATGAGATTGAATAAAACATCATTCCAAAAATATTTATATTAATTATTCTTAAAACTATTCTTTATTACTGAAATTTTACTGGTTTTAAAAAACTTTAAGATTCTTAATTTTTCCCTTAATAAATGGCTAATATTTATGAAATTGAAAGAGCTGAATATAACAATTTTTATCCATTATCTTAACTAAGTTTTATTTTTAATTTTAAACATCAAATATGTGTTTAGTGAACTCTTAATTATAAAATAACTTAGTTAGATTATATAAATATAACATTAAACTATTATTCTATCAAATGTTGTAACATAAAAGTATATGAAGAAGTCTTGTACAAGAATATATTCAAGAAGTTAATTTAAATTTTACCACAATGTCCTATAATGTGGTTGTAGATGATAACACTCACAATACCTGATGTTTTAAGTAATTTAACATAATGGTTAATCTTAATACTAAATGACTTTGTACATAGGTCGTTCATGAATCTCCCTTTCAGCACTGGCTAAGAGAGTTGCAATTCGAAATTTAACTTCTTCACTCATCATGAATCGTAAAAAAATAATTATTTACACGCAATAATCAACGCACACACTAAACTAGAAGTTGCACACAGAAGCTACTTCCAGCCTCTTACAAAACTGAACGAAAATAACAACTATAAAATAGTAGCGGTGAGTTTTGACCTTCACTCGATTCTAGGAATGAGGTGTGTGAGGTACAGTGACACTCGCACTGCAGACACCACTCAAAATAATATAATCTCGAAAAATAAAACATCCCTGGAGGTTACTTCTGTGATGCAACCTCTGATTATAACATTTTTAGCAATATTGGTGACTATCTCAGCAAATTGGAAGGTAAACCCCAAACAGAATGTAGGCTATATTTATTAGGCTGAGAAATATAACGATAACATAATTAACTATTCTAATTATTTTATATCAGTGAACTAATCAAAAAGATTGTAACTATCCTGGTATGATCTTGCAGCCAGTCTTCAAGTGCCCAAGTCCCCTCGTACACCAACCATCTCTCGAGGTATGGGCCATGTCATCAATCACCGCTTCACCAAAACCTTCAAGATGATGACTACGTGTGATTATTGTGACAAACAAATGTTTATTGGTACAGGTGGGTGATAAAAATCAAACATAAGTTACCAATCAACTAGTCTATCCAAATATCCTGTCATGCAAAACATTTCCTCAAATAGTTCAAATCCTGAAATTTCAAACATCACACTAGGTTCCTAATCTTTTAACCAAACACATGAACCATTTTGACTTAAATACATGAACTCTAAATTTCACATGCATAATTTTAATATTTTCTATTTCATTCATTTTTAAATACCACTTAAATCCTAACTGTATCAGCAGTTTAGTTTTGCCTTTTTGTTACAGGGTTAAAATGTAAAGAATGTAAATACAAATGCCATCGAGACTGTGAGCCTAAAGTTCCACCATCATGTGGTCTGCCCAGAGAGCTAGTGGATGAGTTTAGAAGAACTATAACAGGAAATCAAGACGGTAAGATCTCATAAAAAATGTGAAAATAGGGCTTTGCTTCAATGTTGCAGTTAATTTTTTTAAGTATATGTTTGATAAATGTAATTGCTGCCCTAGTTTGAAGTGAGCTGAAATACTATCAATGTTATTACAATAGAAACCCTCTTATCCGGACTCCTCAGGACCGAGGCCAGTCCGGATAACGGTTTTCCGGTTAAACCGACGTCCCCAAAAACTCGTAAAAACGGACCGTTTAAATGCGTATTTTATTTAGGAGAGCATTTTATTTAGACACGTGATCACTTGTCTCAAATCTTTCCCTCGAGAAAGGTCGTTTCAGTACCGCCCACTTCCTACCGATGATCTAGTCCGGTTAAACCGATGTGCTGATAAAAATTGTCCGATTTAAGAGATGTCATTTCCGCCGAGTGTAGTCCGGTTAAACCGATGTCCGGTTAAAAGGTGTCCGGATAAGAGGGAGTCTACTGTATTGCAGTTACTGTGTCTGTATTAACTTAATAGTTGTTATTCAAAGTACCACCACTGCAATATTGAATAGAAATTTTAATGGATATTTAAGTATTTAAGCTAGTTTACAGCATGTACGTTAATACATCTGGTGTTTGTTTTCAGTGTTTGCACCAAGTCAGTCTCCTATCATCAACAGGCCGTCTCCCAGTCATAATCCTCTGACTCGAAGAGATCGCAAGACCATCAACGTTCCACCATTTCCAGTAAATAATAAAAATGTATTCCTGTCAACTATTATCCACTACTAACAAACTCTTTAAGTGTACACTGTTGACGTGAAACTAGAAGGAATATTTGTAGGTAAAAACTGTAACAATATAATTATGTAACGTTGAGCTAGGGTGCATGTGGAAGTAAGGGGGCAAGTAGTGATGAGTGATGTGTTGATACCAAAATGTACAATTCTCAATACTGATACCATTTTCCCAAAATGTTACAATATTTTCTATTTGGATAGGCCTTACACTTCACCAACACCTATCTTTATGTCCTTACACAAAGTAATTTTAAAGTAGCGGTTTGTTTCTGGAAAAATGAAAATCTTATTATATCTAGAGGTGTGCCAGCCTGAGACTTAATATCAAGCTGAGCTCAAGGCAATATCGTGATTACCTCCTTTGGCCTTGGAGACATCTTAGTCTTTTGCTAACGCGGCAAAATCCAGAATATCTTCCCCAGTCATGGAAGCATGGTCTCCTGCGGTCGAGGCAAAATCCAGAATATTACCCAGCAGTATTGGGAACATTATCATCATCTCCCGCAATGTGGCGAAATATTTAATTAACTCCCGCCGTCACAGGAACATCATCGTTTTACTTATGAACATCTCCTGCGGTTGTGTGGACATTATCTTCGTCGTCCTCTATTGTTAAACAATTTTTATAATCTCCTGTGGCCTTTTAGACATCATGATTGTCTTCCGCGATTGCGGCAAAAGCGTGAATTTTTTTATCAAGGGATCTTTGTAGATGTTATTGGTATCGGCAATGACTTCTACCAATTTGTGATACTGATACCAATGTCAAAGTATCGGTGCTATCAAGAATTGCCATATCCCTAATTTTAAGGATTTTTGATGGGATAACAGTCTTATCGGAGTTGGAATGAGTCCATCCTAGGCTAATAAACTTAAACAACTTGCACTTTTTGTAAAATATATTATACCTTACTGTCACTAACAACATTCGTAATAAAGAAGGCTTGAGTTGAAATGCCCAGTTAAAGCGTTTGGTTGTCTGCAGGGAGGGCTGGACTCTTCGTCTAACACATCGAGTTGTAACAGTTCTACTCCCAGCAGCCCTGCACTGGTGCCCAGTCATACACCGGCTGCTATCATCACCAAACACCAACAGTTCCACTTCCCTGACGTGGTCACTCTTCAGACCCACCCTCTGGAGAGATCTCAGGTATGCTAAAAAACCTTCACTTTTTCTTCAAAATAAGGACTAAGTTGTTATCATTGGACTTATTTCACATTCAAATTTAATTTTTGATTGTAGCCACCAGATTACAATCAACACCAAATTTGTTTAAGTACCTGCTTCTTTGTAATCCAACTAATTGTTGCTTGAGGCGCAAGTTATCATCCGGACGGACACACACATTATGAAATTCAAGATTCAAGATTCAAGATCCAAGATCTTTATTTGTCATTAAGCAATACAAGTATTACAATAGACATCGTCAAAGTTTTTTTCTTTTTTTTTCTAATAATACATACAGTTAATTTCCTGTTAGAGTAGGACCTTGCATGAAGAATGCACCAAGTGAGTAGCAATCACTCTTTAAAAAATAACAGTTAAACATAATTAACTCTAAAATAAATAACTTAATAATTTACATGTCAATGATCAAAAATAAAATCTGTAAATATAATAACAATAAAATCTTTAAATATAATAACAATTAAATATTTAAATATATTAATATTAACATTGATGTTCTAAAAACATAGGGAACTAATATCACAGGCCAGATAATCGTCTATGGAATAAAAAACATTTTCATTAAGCCATTGTTTTATAATAGAAACAAATTGTTTAAAGGGTACAATCCATGCCTTTTTTGGCAATTTATTGAATAGTTGTATCTTCATACATATGTGGCTGCTCTTTGTTTTTTCCAATCTTACAAAAGCTAAATCTAATTGATAGTTATTCCTAGTATAGTACTGATGAGTTTCGTTTCTAGTTGTAAAATTTTTCAAAGACTCCTTAACATCTATTAGACAACAGTAAATATATAGATTAGGCAAAGTCATTATTTGTAATTCTTTGAATATTGGTTTACAAGACTGTCTTTGTGGTTTATTTTTGATTGCTCTCAGTGCCTTTTTTTGCCATCCAAGAGCAGTCTGTGCACTGCAAGAGTTGCCCCATAAGGTTATACCATATCGTAGATATAAAATATATATAAATATATATACAAATTTGAACGAATGGTGTTTTTGGCCTCTGGGGACATCAAAATGAAAAAGTAAATCGGTCCCGGGCCTAGGTCTTACCATGAGACCTATGGTAATAGCTACTTCCCAATAGGGAAATTCGCTAAAAAGTCAATAGATGTACTAATGCTTGTTTTATTGATTAAAATTATAATAATTCAAATTTAGTTTTATTTGACTACATCTTGTTATTCAGATACCTCTTAAAAAAGTGGATTATGTGGTAGTTTTGACCAGGAAAATATTACAGTAGTTGGAATCTGAAATTAACATCCAAAAAGGGCATTAAAGTATAAGAAAGATAAAGGAAATTTTACATTCAAATTCAACTGTAGCCTACAAAAAAAAAAAAAACATTGGACTTCACTTTTCACCCTTACAATCGGTTAAAGTATTTAAGTATAAAAAACAGTAACTATTGAAAAAAAACGAGTATTTTAGTATAAAAACAGGAGGGGATTTACTCATTTATTGTTGTCGAAGGAACCGAAGCTCCCCGATGGCTACCCGGTACCCATGGCGTAGGCCGGAGCTTACGCACCAACCCTGGAGACACCATGGGGTGGATGACTTAAGGTCATCAAGCTCATCGGCTGCCAAACGGCAAATAACCCATCGGAAAGAGGGTTGCCCCTCAATCCTAACCAGGGATACCGACTACTTGGTCAAGCGTCTACTCCACCTGGGTTCCCCAGGGTACGAAACCCTGAAGGACCATAGTGGAATGCCCTGACGCATTTAGTGCAAGCAACACTCGGGACCTATCTAATGCCTGACAGGCCGAAACCCGCCATCAAAGCCAGGAGGAAGGGGACCATCAGCAAGCTGACGGGGGGAACCCCAACCACCTATTTGCACCACTACCCGATCGAGGCGATCCCATTGCTGGGAAACCAGAGATAACCAGGGCGATAGATCCCCAGATACCCCTGGCGGGCTTGATCCCAACTCCCGATCTACTTCATCAGGGTTTCCCAAAAGGAGGCAGGTTTAGAAGTGGGACCCACCCGGATGAACCTATCCACCAAAGGTGGCGACACCCTTAACTCAATTGAGGTTCCAGGGAGAACCCCCCACACTCTAGATAACCATACCTTCCGGGCTCAGAGACAGGGATTGGCTGATGGAGTGCGCCCAGCCGTTGCCCTCACACTGCGGAAAGTTGCGTTCCCCTAGAGTGTCCCCGTGAGCTTACGGGTACTTGCCCGATTTCACCTCCAGGAAAGGCTACTTCCAAAGTCGAGGATTTGCCACACAGAATGCTGGTCGCACAGAACAAGCAGGCCGAAGCCCATAGAACCATAGTCACAGGTAGATGGGAGATTGATGGCGCACTTCCACCTCTCCGAGAGCTAAACACCCCACCAACCTGAATGGAGGAATGTCACTGGAGGCTCCCCCTAAGGGGCTGGCGCTTACCAGACGTCCATGACTATGGCCTACTTGAAATGCCGATTCCAACACCGGACAGTTACCTCCCCATTGGGTACTTAGTGGTTGCCCGTCTTTCACCTCCCAGGTACCAGAGCCGAGGATATGCCTCACAAAATGTCGGTCGTACACAACAGGCAGGGCAGGCCCGTAGAACCACAGCCACAGGTAGGTGAGAGAATTACACTCTGAGAGCTAAACACCCCACCATCCTGGATGGAGGGATGTCCTGGATGTTAGGGGGGCTCCTCTAAGGGCTGGCGATCCCAGTCGTCCATAACTGTGGCCTTACCTGAAGTGCCGGTTCCAACACCGGACAGTTACCTCCCCTCTAGGGGCACATATAATCACCGCCGTCATTAGAAGCTTTGCAACATTCGGGAGGGGGTGGCATCTAGTGGCTAATGCTACGTAACCAATAGTAGCCTCAGCGACCGCCATCTTCTAATAATGTCTGGTGACAGCTACTCCCGCGATTGGCGAGTGGAAAATACTGTATTTAATAAATTAAGTAAGACTGTTCAATTTTATCCAGGTAGACATTCTTTATTTTTAAGTAAGTTAATTTTAAGTTTAATTTAGGGATGGACGGGATTGAATTTTTAGTTCGGGACGGGACGGGACGGGATTTTTATTTCCTTCCCGATTTTCGGGACGGGACGGGACGGGATTTTTTTCTGTACATAAAAAGAAAGTACTGTATTGTAGTTACCAAAAAAGACATACGGAATCAATTTTAACCATTTGTGGCACTGATCTATAAAAACAAAAAAATGTGTAACAATTTACATGTACCTATAGAAACTTGTGACTCGCGGGTCACGGGGTGATGGTCTGTATGACTCACGGTCACGGCGCAATCGTCGTCATGACTAGCGGTCACGGCGCGATCGCCGTCATGACTAGCGGTCACGGCGCGATCACCGTCATGACTCGCGGTCACGGCGCGATCGTTGGTATGACTCGCGGTCACGGCGAGACCGTCGGTATGATTCCGCGGTCACGGGGTTATTGTTGGTATGACTCGCGGTCACGGCATTATCGTCGGTATGACTTGCGATCACGGCTCGATCGTCATCATGACTCCGCGGTCACGGCGCGATCGTCGTCATGACTCGCGGTCACGGCGCGATTGTCTGTATGACTCCGTGGTCACGGGGTTATCGTTGGTATGACTCGCGGTCACGGCATTATCGTCGGTATGACTCGCGATCACGGCTCGATCGTCAACATGACTCCGCGGTCACGGCGCGATCGTCGTCATGACTCGCGGTCACGGCGCGATCGTCTGTATGACTCCGTGGTCACGGGGTTATCGTTGGTATGACTCGCGGTCACGGCATTATCGTCGGTATGACTCGCGATCACGGCGCGATCGTCATCATGACTCACGGTCACGGCGCGATCGTCTGTATGACTCCGTGGTCACGGGGTTATCGTTGGTATAACTCGCGGTCACGGCATTATCGTCGGTATGACTCGCGATCACGGCTCGATCGTCAGCATGACTCCGCGGTCACGGCGCGATCGTCGGTATGACTCGCAGTCACAACGCGATCGTCGGTATGACTCCGCGGTCACGGGGTTATCGTCGGTATGACTCGCGGTCACGGCATTATCGTCGGTATGACTCGCGGTCACGGCATTATCGTCGGTATGACTCGCGGTATCGGCGCGATCGTCGGTATGACTCGTAGGCGGTCACAGCCCGATCGTCGTTATGACTCGCGATCTCGGTGCAATCGTCGGTCCAATAATCACGGCCACGGCGCGATCGTCGTTATGACTCCGCGGTCACGGCGTAATCGTCGAAATGACTTCGTCTCCTGCGTTCGCGGACCTATCGCTCGCAATAACGGCGTTATCGGAACCCGCGAAGCGGAAAAATCGCCGTCGATCGGACCAAATCCCGTCCCAAAAAATTCCCGAGTCAAATGTAATCCCGTCCCGATAATCGGGAATATTTTTTTCCCGAAAAATTCCCGAAATTTCGGGACCCGTCCATCCCTAGTTTAATTATAAGTTCAGAAATACCTTATGATTCTTGTGTTTACATTTTTCTTGTCAATTCATAAAACTGTCATGGCTACTTTAGTCCCATAATCCTAATGTTAAAAATTGGAAATTTTAAGTTCTTTTTAAATTGCATTAGCTGTTATCTAATTGAAATTTGTTTGTTTACAAACCATCTCACTATTAGTCTAAGTAATCTTGTTAAATTTGGCTGAAATGTGTTCAGCCGTTATTGAGTGATGGTGTTATATTGTTTGCATTGAAGTTGATCCCAAAGAGCTTCGCTCGCTCCGCTCAATAAATAAATAAAAAAGAAAAATACTGTAACATGTTTTGTTTATAAATGAAAATACAACATTTACAATGTGAGGAATAGAAAACTAGTGGAGTAATCAAGTGTTGTTGATGTAGGACTCTGACAGGACAGTGTCAGGCAGTGTGAGCACGGACTCTGAACACACCCCAGTCAGAGTTGACAGTCAGGACAGTCAGGTGTCTGACAGTGAAAATGTCGACAACAGGGGCTGGCCTAGACAGAACAGTGTAAGTGGCTTGAGTTGGTCCTAACTATACATTACATAAATGCTACAATACTTACTTACTTTTATTTACTCTGTTAACACTGAACAATTTGTTTGTCAATACAATTTTATTTTTGAGCTGAGCGATTATGCCACACTTTTCCTTTTGCCTCGGATTTTATAACGAAAATGCAGGGTGCCCGACCGACCTTGAAACAGGGAAAACTGGGAATTGTACTCTAATTTTGTTGACAGGAAAAACATATGTGAACGGTCCTTAAATTTGTATGGAACCAGGCAATTAAAAATTTTGAAAAACCCCCAATAAAATCCTGCAATAAACTGGTTTGTAAACCGATAAAATTTGTTATGCAAATTCTAATGTACTGTTGTAAAATAAATAACCTTGGTATGTTATTAATTTATAAAAAAGTTATCAATTTACTAAACTAAAATATCTTAGTTAAGAAATTACAACTAATTAAACACATCAAATTCTACTAAATTTATATTGTTTTGACCTAAATCCGCACTCATCATTAGAAAGTTAGACATCAACAAAGAATCGGTCTTTTACTTTTCATCTTGTCAACAGTATGTGACTGCTCTAATCCATGGACTATCTTTTTACTTAAATTTGGTTTTATGATTGCAGCTTTCAATGAGAGAGTGGGACATACCATTTGACGAGCTGAAAATGGGGGAGGCCATTGGTACGGGTCACTTTGGCACCGTGTACCGGGGTAACTGGCACGGAGATGTGGCTATCAAGGTGCTCAACATGAACTACATGGACGACGACAAGACCTTTGAAGCCTTCAAACTTGAGGTGGGCTACTTTTATTCGTATTTGGTAACTATTATTTTCTGTAATTGTGTTTGATCCAATTTCCAACGGTTAGGAGTACACAAACACATAAACCCATTCTGCTGAAGTATTAGAACTGTTGTTAAATTTACATTGTTTTGTTTTGTAACTAAATTAGACTTATAGTTGTTGACTTATAGTAGTTGACATTTATTGTTACATCTTTGTTAACCCAAAATTGTTTTATCAGTTAAAAAATAGCTATCATCTAGTTACTGTATTTAAACTGTATGACCAATTTAAATTATTGAAAAGTAACAGAACAAAACCCAACCTGATTGCAAGGATATTATCACAGTGTTCCGCAATTGTGACATATTCGTGAGCAATTGGAAAAATCTTGTATGATCCCTGCATTTGCAAAGAGTTGTTATTGTCTCCCACGATCTTGGCAAATTCATTGCATATCAACCAATAAACCGAAACCATAATTTTCCATTAATTCTCAGTTGCAGATTTTTGCTAAAAAAAAAACTGGTTAAACCAACCCATCCCTAAAATTTTAATAAATGATTTTTTGAAGCTTCAAGAAATGACCTGTATTTGCTGCATTCAAAAACATATGTTAATCATTTATTTTAACATTTTTGAATATCAAGTAACTACACAAAACGTTCTGCATATAACATAAATATGTAACTAATAAACCCATACCAACATATTTTTTTTCCTGAAATTAAAATAAATTAAACTCCTGACACCAACATAAACATGAATATTAGACTAATTAGAACATTTAGTGGCTAATATATCGTTATGAAACTGAGTCGTTCCAGTTATAGTATTTAAGATGCCTTTCTAAGTTCAGAATACAATTTACTGTGTTTGCTCTATAGCTACCAGCTAGTGTGGAAACAGTGTTAAAAATAACAATAATGATACAAAAAATGTCAGTAGATTCAAGAATAAAACTGCCAAAATCTTCAATTTCGAAACTTTTGAATCTCGAAACTCGGTGATCGAATCTCGAAACCGAAACTTTTCCCAAGTTTTGATGGTTTTGAGATTCGGTTTTGACACATCACTAGTAATAAGGTAGAGGGAGACTAAGGACAGTGAAAATCACAGTTAATCCAACATGGTATAAAAAACTGACAAACCCATAAAAACACTGTAATACTGTGTAAATAAAAATTTCCAATAATGTCACAATTTACATTTCTTATCAACAAAATACAATATTACACAGTCATTAATATTGCGCAATCATGACATTTCAAGTCTGACCTTGGTTCAGTTTACAAACTGTAACGTTTAATCACATATTCTCTGTGCCCTAACCCACCTAAATTCTAGCCAAACACTACATAGCAATAAATCATGTAAAGAACAAAACAAAACAGTGATGAGTTTTGTAAGCTTCTGCTCATGATAGGCCGATAGGCTACCGCGCGTCTACCGTACTGTCTTTACACAAAAGACAAAAGAGGAATGTCAATAATAAACTATAGCATTTTTGTTGCCATAGTTGAAACAAATCATATTGAAAACAATGCAAACGTTAGATAAGTCATCATAAAAGTGTATAATCATAGTCTAATTAAAGATAATAAAAACACTTGTAAAATCAATATAAAGATAACAATGTTTCTCTTCATCCAAAAATTTTAACAAATCACCATAGTTGCTTATCACCCAATCAGTTTACTAAGCATAACGATGTCATCAGTCCTCAGTGAATGAAATCAGTTGTGGAGCACAGCAGACAGATGTGTAAAACTGAGCAGACGAATGTTACCGCAAGCGTTTACGTCACCTTTCCATTTCATTTTCATCAATAAATTGTGATTTAAAAAAAAACAATAATGTGGGGAGGGGGGTTTGTTATATCGAGGGAAAGTCGCAGAAATTTGTTAAGTAGAGGTTAAATTTGCTATGTAGATGTTCTAATAATGATAAATTCGATATTATTGAGTTGTCTTATTGTAGCTGGGATCATCAATTATACAAGTTTCACTTGTAATTTGTTGATGTAGGTTGCCATATTCCGCAAGACAAGGCACGAGAATGTAGTGTTGTTCATGGGAGCTTGTATGAAGCCTCCGCGACTGGCCATTGTGACAAGTATGTGTAAAGGAATGACTCTCTACACCCACATACACCTGTGTAAGGACAAGTTCAACATGAACAAGACCACATCTGTAGCTCAGCAGATATCACAGGTAGAGACAGACACATTGCTTGCAAACAATATATATTATGAATATAGGTATGGTTTGTCGCTGAGCGCTGTTTAGTAAATTACTACAGTAGGCTATTATGTTGAAAACATTGTAAAAATTTGTTCTTGTAAAAATTAAATTGGACTGTAATAATTTCAGTACAAATAACTCAAATTTTATATGATATTAACCCTCCCAGAGAAAAACATCGATGCATTGATGATAATGACACGCTCTGGGGTGTCAAGCGTCGATGCATTAATGGTTGTGCAGATGGTGTGGCATACTTTGACGCACACATTGGTGATTTGGTCATGTGATTTATGATCCTAACCAAATCGTTCATGTTGGAAACGATAAATGGACACATTATTTTAAACAGAGGAGACAATTTACCACAATTCACAGGCCCTAAGAGCCAGCTTTGATGATTATTTGATTAATTAAAGCATTTATAATACAGAAATATCTTAATCGTTCAACATATGGAATATTTCATATATAAGTCAGCTGGACATAACGTGAACTAACATTTGAATAAATACCAAGTAAATTATGACGGAATATATGAATTCGAAATTTGGTCTACATGATCTGAAATTAATTATTAATTAAATATTACTACTCTACGACACAATACCTGAAGGGGGGCCTCCCCCATTTCCCACCAACTTAGCCCTGCATCCTCACTCCTGGAACAGGACACCAGACAGCCCGTTCTTTGACTCACTTTACCCACCTGCTCGCTGCGCATGCGCGATCGGTCCTGGACTTGCGAGTGCTAGTTAGGCGGGACATTTGAATGGTTGTTGTGTTGTGGAGACTAAGCTCCACAAGATCTCCCCCCTCCCCCCAGCAGCAAAGAGGAAGAAAGGTGACCTCCATGGTTGGGGTGTCACGTTGGTACAGTAAAAAAAAAAATCAGCTGTTGAACACAAGCAAATAAATATAACGTATAACATCAACAAATAGTAATAAATAAATATATATATCACAATTATCTGGAAACATGAAACATACTTACACTTAATGTTTATCCGGTAACTGGTGTAGTGTTGTGTGAGTGTATTGTGTGAAAGTGTGTGCGTACGCTTGCCTTCCTCCATCCACAAGTCACAGTTTGCAGGTTCGAGCTGTTGAAATTTAAAAAAATTAAAATAAAGGTTATGGCTCGACCGCAAATTCCAAAAAATATAAAAAATTAGCTAACCTGTGACTGTGTTTGGAGGTTGGCGTGTAGGTGTAAGTGTAAGTGTGAGACTGCCGAGGTGAGCGACACACTGGCGGCCGCTACTGTAGGCGGCACCTCAGAGAAATGACACCTTAGACTCAGTGCGCCTCGCCAGTGTGGAGGCCGGCGACAGGTGTTGAGTGTGGTGTGAGGGTGTGGTACTACATTTAACTAATCCTATTATCACTTGGCCTGTGTGCGGTTTTCCTGGTGTATACTCTGGTTTTTTGTTTGTTTTGGTCTGGTGTCAATTTTTGGGATGAAAAAAGGCTTTTAACTGTGAGACGTGAGCTCTCCTAACTGTTTTGCCTGACTTGGGGTCAACTAAAATTACAGTGACTGGTGAAGTGAATGCTTGAATTATTAGGGGTTCGGACCAAACTGGCAAAAGTTTAGCATTTATTTTGTTCACTGCGTTGCTTTGATGATTTAATCGATACATCACCCAATCACCTACTTTGTAATCAACTGGTTGACGTCCCTTATTGTATTGATTTCTTCGGGTTTCCCTGGCTTTTTCGAGATTGTTGTAAGCCTCTGTCCACCTGTGTTTATTGTCTATCGGTTGGACACGTAGACACCAGACAGCCCGTTCTTTGACTCACTTTACCCACCTGCTCGCTGCACATGCGCGAGTGGTCCTGGACTTGCGAGTGCTAGTTAGGCGGGACATTTGAATGGTTGTTGTGTTGTGGAGACTAAGCTCCACAACGGTTACATAATTTTCTTTTAACTCAGTCAATTTCAGTCCGATTTGGACTGGATCTATACCACTCAGGGTGTCTAGTAGCACAGAAAACGTACTACTATAACCCAGAATGCCAACCGCATGGTAAAAAGCATTAAGCGGTTTGAGAGAGCTTTGCCTGTCAATCCGTAGGCAGCGCCACCAGCGTTGCCATGCAATAGCATAGCAACGCTGGTGGCGCTGCCTACGGATTGACAGGCAAAGCTCTCTCAAACCGCTTAATGCTTTTTACCATGGGGTTGGCATTCTGGGTTATAGTAGTACGTTTTCTGTGCTAGTAGTCAGGAAAAATGGGAATGTCGGGAATTAGTATTGAATTTAAAAATGGTCTTGAAAAGTCTGGATTTACTATCGATTTTGATATCAAAGTCGGGAATTTTCATGATTTTGCCGAAATAACACAAGACGACAATCACGTTTACGTGACAGCGAAAGACGATGATGATGTCTACTAGGGGTGGGCGAGTAGTGATTTTTCAATTCGAGTCGAGTATTTGAGTAAAAACTCGAGTATCGAGTCGAGTCGAGTAGTTGCGTGTTAAGTAGGCCTAGGCCCAGGGTTTAAGCTGCGGTAGTATTTTTAGCTTCTTGCTATTCACAAGTTAAAAATGCTAGGTTTACATTGTTTTGCAGGCTAGGCCTATGGCAAATTGTCTACAAATAAAATTGAAAGATGTAATGTTCAAACAAATGTAATATTAGCCTACTGGAACTTTTTGTTTTAAATGCTTAAGTTATTGAATAATATTTTTTCTACAGTTATCTTAGTTTTTGTCTTTGCAGAGAGCTCGCAGCATTTTGCTGAAACAAATTTCATCCTAGCCCAGGCCTAAATAGGTAGTTTAAGTAATTATACCAAATTTTCTAAGTTATATGGTTACTAATTATTAGTACCTCCTACCTTAGGCCTAGTAAAAAAATTGGCCTAGACTACTTAATGGCTGCAGCATTAAATTATTTAGGCCTACACATCACTTGTTATTGTGTGTTTTATTTTTCTTGCCTTTAATTCCTCCTCACTAACATGATAATCAACCTAACCTAACTAACTAACTTAATAAGGTAACTTTAAAAATAATTCCAATTCAAATAAGAAACAGAATTTATAAAAATAAAGTTATTTATAAAACAGAAAACTAATATCAAATTACATATTGTATCACAAGTTAAAAACATCAATATGCAATTAGGTAGTTTAAAATAATCACTTAGATAAGCACTTAATCTGTCTTAAGTTTGAAGGTTATGGGTAGCTTACTAGGGCTATCCTCTTCACTCAGTACATTTATAAAAATGATCAAGTCTTTCGTCTCTGACAGACTGAAAATATCAAACAAAAACATTGTAGGCCTATTATCTCAAAATAAAATCCTACATTAAACACTTAATTTAAAATAAAACACATTTCACTGTAGCCCGGTATAGTCTATTTGGCCTTTCTTTATAAACTCACATTTTCTAGGTTAAGTTACAATTCAACCTGTCGTTGTCATGTTTCTGCCACCAGATTGAAAATTGCACAATCAAAATCACAAACAGAATATGTTTATTTTACTTTCTATTAAACTTCCACTAACAAAATCAATTTTATATTAAGTTACAAATTCACTTCAAAGTAAAAACATTCAAAAGTGACATTGACATAACTTCAATCACTCCAATCCATTGTTTTGTTGTTACACGCCAGCTGTCACCTTATCTGCTCTCTTTCTCTCTCTCTCTCCCTCTTCCCTCTCCCTAGTCACTGTTCACTGCTCACTAGTCAGTCTGCTCATTCTGCTTCTGCTTTGTTTTCCCATCAAACAGCTGTTTTGCAGGTCTGACGTTGCCATATTTATCATTACACCATTATCGTGAATGTCGGTAAAATTACCATAAAATTGCTATAGCTTTTATTTCGTTAAAAAAATAATAGTTTGACTAATTTTAATCATGTTTATGTAAACTGATTAGAAAATAAATTATACTTATAGTTTGTTTACGCCAATACCACAGTTGCAAAAGTACAACAATTATCGTCCATCTGGCAACACTGATGTTTAAAGTGGAACTGATATTTTCTTTCTGCCAAGACCCAATGAGATTGCGTCATTCAGATGCATCGATGTTCCTTGCAGTAACTTATCGGTTTGTAAAACCAAACACCAATACCGATTAATGTGAAAAAATATTATGCTACAACAGGTTATTTTTATTTGTCGTATTTCTATATTTTCCTTTGGTATAAAATATTTTGTTGTTTCTATATTTTGGTATAAAATATTTTTATGGCAGTTCAAACTAAATCTGATACTGTACTTAATAATATCTTCAAGAATCGTCTGTCACTGTTATACTAGTCACGAGACTCCCTTGTTGACTATCAACTATTGCAATTCGATAGATTCACTCAATGCTTTATTTCAACTTACTGTATCGTTATCGAGACGTATTGTTGACTGTTGTAGGAAAGTGAAAGTCTGTTAGTAGTCCTCTTGCTAGCTCTGCCGAATGACGATGGTTGTTTGTTGAACATTTGGTTTACGCTGGTCTAACCTATATGAGGTTAGATAGTTGTTTTTTGTAGGAATGGGGATTAAATACGGCATCAACACAAAACAAAATATAATTTATTAAATCTGGGTGTAGAAAATCGTGAAGTGGCACTATTTATAACTACTCGACTCGAGGTCGAGTATTTGAAAAAACTCGAGTAATTACTCGAAGGTCGAGTACTCGCCCACCCCTAATTTCTACACGGTCGCAAGAAATGTCCACGATTTTGCCGCGATCGTGGACGATAACGGCAAAATGAGTGATGAATTATGATGAACGTCAATCGAATGACGTTCATCATAATGACGTTTCCGTGACCACGGGAGACGATGTATTGAATTTAAAAATGGTCTTGAAAAGTCGGGATTTACTATTGATTTTGATATCAAAGTCGGGAATTTTCATGATTTTGCCGAAGTTACGCAAGATGACGATCACGTTTACGTGACAGCGAAAGATGATGATGATGTCTACACGGTCGCAAGA